CCACTCCCACTGGGTCCTGGCCATGTTGGCCATCAGGGGACTCTTGTGTTGTGTTGTATACCCCTGTATTATGGCCGAGTTGGCCATCTGGGGTTCTTTGCGTTGTTGCTCCCCATTGTAACCTGGCCGAGTTGGCTGTCAGGGGACTTTTCGTGTTTATTATTATTATTTATTTATTTATTTATTTATTTATATTTTATTTATTTATTTATTTTTATTTTTTTTCTTTCGTGTGTAACTTTGTGCTTTTGTACTCCAGCACATTCCGGGTTGGTATTTTCAGCAGCTTGTGTCGGTTGCCCACGTGCATAGCTGTCAATTGCTCGCGTTCCCTGTCTCCCTAGAGGCAGTACCATGTGTGGGCTTATTTTCTGTATATATTTTGACCATACTGTTATCTGTGGACTATGCCCCATGTGTTGTAAATAAAGTATACTCAATAAATGGAATGCAGCAGTGCCATGGTTCCCACTTCACACTTTCCTATCATTCCTTACTTTTCTTCCCTCTTCTCACTTTCTCTAAAACTCTTCATCCTTCCTTTTCAAAGGCTATGCCGTAAGGTTCGGCCTTCTAACACTTTTAAACATATCATATCATATGTTATATATAATAGACAGGAAAGTAATAACTAGAGCCACAGATTCTAGAAATGATCTATTGAGAGTAAAACAATGGACACAAAAATTGACATAATTTATAGTGCAGTAATCCTAGTGTGTGACTTATGGGTTACTGCTACAAAATAATTTTTTAATAAATCAACAACAGTTATTTACTTTATGTTAAGATTCAAACATAAAAAGATACTCTATAACTATTTTAAAAATTAGATTTAGCCCATAAAAATATTAAATTATTTTTTTAAGCATTTATACCTTGGTCTTTATTTAATCTATGTGCAATTGATATATATGAAAAATAAATGAAACAGTAATGAAATCAACTAATTTCACCAGATCTGTGAAATAGTTCAACACATTCAACAAATGTCAGCTATTATAAGATCTTTGGTTGAACTCACCACTTCTTATGAGAGGCATTTTGGAAAATGTACGTAGGCAGTCATCACTTTTTGTGTTCTTGTGCATATGTTTTAATGATTCCTTAATTTGCTTTTCCATGTTGTTCTGCTTTTACTTTCCTGGCTGTTATGTATACATAACAAGGGAAGTAATGGAATTATGTCAATGGAATCCTGAGTTTTTTGCAAATCTCCATGTTTTGAGACCTTCCGAACCCAAAAACAGCAAAAAAAAAGTATGTGGATATATATGTATGTGTTGGTTTCTATTTTGCTTAATATATCAGGATGGATGGAGATAAAGAAACAAACTTTGGCACAGTAGCTTGTATATAATGGGCATTGACGCTATTAAATTTTGGTTGTGAAAAGTTAAGGGAATGGAGAGATAGGGAGTGGCCATGTTATATAATCTAGCAAGGGGTCAAAGTTAATGAATATTTTACATGATGTTAGCATTTATATTATTTTATAAAACTCATCTCTAACCTCAANCCCTAACACACAAACCTCCCTGCAAAATTTCAGAAATTCTTGACAAAAAGCACTGGAGTTATTAAGCTTTAAAGAGGGTAAACAAAGTCTTGACACTCACACACATGCTAACATCCACGCATACAGAAAAAAAATCTTAAACTTGTTTGCATTTCTCGGCCTTCAAGATCCTGAGTCAAAAAATGTTAAAAATCTTGGGGACTCATTTTTTGACTGATTGCCTTACTTTTTCTCTGTTATATATAATATAGTTTATGCTTCCCTGTGGTCTCTTTGAGCTGCAAAAAATTGGGTTTTTGTGCAAAACTTTTGATTTTGAGTTACCTCTGTGATTACCACCTTGTACGTATTGTTGAGCCTGTTAATTTTGTTATGTCGATTGTTTATTTATCTTAAATAAAGGGGAGTTAATTAACGTTAAATTTCGCATACTTGATTGGGCTTAGAGGGTGGGGGACAAAACTGACAGGGGCGCATTAGGGGGTTTGTCGCAAGGTGTGATCTGTAAAGGGGGTAGCGGTTTGTTGGTTTTTAAAGGAGTTATCTGTGCTTAAAATTCTTCCATAGATTAACATTGCAAATTTTCGAATCTTCAAAATTTTTCGGCTGTTACCGACTGTTACAACGTATTTTAATGAACTTAAACAGTTATTTTTTACGTTCTTTTTAACAGTTTTTCACAGTTTTTGTTGTTTTTATTAGTTTTTTTTGTTTTAAGCTAGGATTTACAGTATGAGAACTATTTTGGGCATTTATTTTATTTAATTAACTCCCAAGAAAAGTGGGAACAATTTTCTGGTTTAGATCTTCCAAGGCAATAGGGCCAGTTTTTGTTAGGATAGTCCATAATCTCCTACTCTCTTGTTGGTTGATCTTGCTGGGGGTTACACATTACATAATTGTCAGGACTAGGTATTGCTGTAACAGAAGTTGGAAAATTAGCTATTTCAGATGTGTTAGTGTCCAAGGACTTGGACTTTTTACTTCACATTTACAGGAGATGGTTCCTACATTCAGGCCAGACTATTCCACACAATTGACATGGATCTCTCTCAGAACTCTCAACCTGAGGTAGAAATTGTGCTGTTAGAAGACTCAATTTTGAAAGAGGCATCAAACTTTCTAGAAAGGATCATGGAAATTTGTCCAGACACTCTTCATTCCAGAACCAACAGGGAGGAGAGGAGCGAAATAAGAAATGCATCAATAAAACTATATGGATGTGTCCACTAACTTTATGGAGTTCTAAGGGAACTCCGAGCTAAATCACCCATCACGGCACCAATTCCGGTACCCCAGAAGCTTACTTATGCGGACATAGTACAAATTAACTGTAGTCCAAGTGCTACAACCACAAATATCAACAAGACACTTAACAACAAAGTGAACAGAGAGAGCCCAGGAGGGTGAGTGGCCCTTGTGTTATACCCTAAGCAGGATGAGGATGGAAAGAGTCTTAATAGAAAGGAAATAATTGCTACTCTAAGGGAAAGAATAGAGCCTCACAATCCTGGGATCAGCATAAAAGCCATTTGTGAAGTCAAGGGAGATGGAGTCTGCTTAAGAGTGGGGTCTCATAAAGATGGGCACACCCTTAAAAAAGCTGTGAATGCAGACCCACAACTGGCTACCAAGACTACAGCTAGAGTCTCTGAGGGATGACATCTCAAAATCATAATGTTACATTTTCCCAGCTATATTAAAGACAAAGAAATCACTAGAACACTCTTCAAACAAAATCAAATCTGGATGGGGATGACAAAAGAAGATTTCAAAGAGCAATGTAAAATAACAACACTAACTAGAGGAAAGGTGTGTGAAAATTGTCAGAATGTCATATTGAGTGTCACTCCTAGGATTAGAAACATACTCATAAAAGAAAGGTATTTGGCATTGGCCTGGAACCATGTCAAGGTAGACGATTTTATCTTGGTGTTGCGTTGTTTCAAGTGCTGTGGATTTGGGCACTTCGCTCGTGAATGTGGGAGCAAAATGATGTGTAGCCACTGCACAAAGGAACATAAGTTTTCCGATTGTTCTGGTAAAGATTCGAAACCAATCTGCATTAACTGTATGATTTCAAACAAAAATCTTCCTATGGGGAAAAGATATAATCCACAGCATAATGCCTACGACCCAATTTGTCCCACGACACAAAAAATGAAGACCACCACAATAAAAGTTACCAATTATGGGTACTAGCAACCAGTATATCCCACAAGTTTCAGCATCTACCTCCAACATCGGGCATACCCAATTAAAAACAAATTTACACCTCCTGCAAATCTAGAGAAAAGCAAAGCTGCCACTTCCCAGCTTTTCAAAGATATTAGCACTACGGACATTGATCTAGTGACTGTCCAAGAACCCTACCTGATAAGCAATAAACCTGCCCTACTAGG